CCCTCACCCCTATCTTTTCCTCTCAGGCCCTGTAGACAGACTCTAGGGTAGCTGACCCACAGATAGCTTACTTTATTCCTCTGCTTCTCATTTAGATATCCAGCATGTTCAGGGTTATGTTCATAAAGCTGTATGAGGATATTCTTGAGCCAGTCTCTCATCCGTAGAGGAAACTGAGTCACTTCAAAGTCCGTACAAGCAGGAATAGCTGTTCCAAGCAGAAAGTAAAGACACTGTAATCTTTGGCAAACCAATAGGTTGGTTTGCACTATTCAAGTTTTATTTTTAAAAATATTCATATTTAAAAGATACCACACTTTCTTGAGCTTCTAAGCTCTTCATTACGTAATTTATATTTGTCACTTTGTAAAAAAACAGTTTCTTTGTGAGAAAATTAGGGTCATGGGATATTCATCAACTAAGATGGTAATATCATTACTATTTTTTAAACATCCTCTTTAGATATCTTTTTTGTTAATATAACCAAGTTGGAACAAAATGTCCCTACTAAGAAAATATATAGAGTATTTTATTTTGTTTTTTAATGTTGTAAAGTATTAACCTCTGTCAGAACCTTTATATATTACTGTATTATCTTTACATACATTTATTATTTTTTTCTTTTCTTTTAAAGTTTACATTTTTGTATTTAATTTACTATTTCAGATAACTTCTAAAATAGGAGTGATGTGGAACAAAAACATCCTTAACAGTGTATCTTAAATTTCTTGAAACTGTTAGCTGAAGCAATGTGTAGATATGAATGACTAGAAAAGTTAATGAGGTACTTTATTTTCAAAATCCTGATGAGCACTGGAAAGAAATTGACTTGGCTAATGAAAATTTCCTTTTTCCTTGTAAATATTTATACACTAATGACCAGAAGTTGGGGGGAAGTGTTTTTTTGTAAAAATGTCACGTCAAGTCATATAAATTTGCTTCTATTATGCTCCATAAGTGAAAACTTAGGAAATTAAAAGCAATTATCTTTCAAAAAAAAAAAAAATCCTCAAAACAGGGTAGTATAACAACTTCTGCTTACTTGCAGAGCATCCTCCCAGTCACCGATATCTACAACAGTGCTCCTTAACCCTGGCCGCACCACAGAATTGCCTGTGGTGTTTCAAAAACATACGAAATGTCAGCTTCCATTCCAAGAAATTTTTGGTTTGATTGGTCTTGGGTGGAGCTTAGGCATCAGGATGTTTGAAAAGCTCCAAACATAATTTTGATGTGCAACCAGGGTCTAGAAACACTGCTCTAGAAACAGTTGAAATTTAGACACGGAGGAAATGAAGCTGTTCATGAGGAAAAAAGAGGAAAAAGTAGGGGTTAGCTTTTACTGTGGTAACAAATAATGCTGAATCTCAGTGACTTAAAGAAGTAGAAGTTTATTTCTTGATTGCATTGAGACCATTTTGTAGACCATGTTGGCTGGAAAGCTCTGCTCACTGAAGCTCGGGATGATGGAGCCTCCATCTTATGAGGCCACCATCTTAACACAAGGCTTCAAGTTTTGTAGTGGCAAGGAAAGAGAGCATGGAGAATCATATACCAGCTCTTAAATGCTTCTGCCCAGAACTCATATGGAAGATTATTGCTCACATTCCATCTGACAGAGCAAGTCATCTGCCTATACCTAACTTACAGGGGGCTGAGAATGTTAATCCTCGCCTGTGTCCGGAAGGAGAAGAGAACCAGAAATACTAGCGAACTACTAAGGTGGAGAATCCTTTAGTGGTGAGGAGATCCAAACACAATTGAGAGTATTCTGGGGAAGGAAGACAATTTAAAAAAACTTCTGGAAGAATATGTTGTCATAAAACTTCTTGGCAGAGGCTTAACTTAAATTGGAAAGAGGGCAAATAATTTAGCAAAATTCCTATGATTCATCTCAATTATTAAGTGGATAACATACTCTATCACAGTGGTTCTGAACCCTGGCTACACATTAGGATTGTCTAGGTTACTTTAAAAACAAACACAAAAACAATTCCCTGGTCCCAGCCCAATCCAATTAAATCAGAATCTCTTAAGGTTGAACCTGGGTATTATTCCTTTTATTTTTTTGAAGTCTCCCCAGATGATTTTAATGTGCAACTTGCGTTTAGCACTACATTAGCTTTCTCCTGTTTGACTATTATTTGGGTATGCGTAGATTCACCCCAAACTCTGTCAGCAATGATGGTGACAGTAGTGATGGAATCTTACATTTGCAGGCTCCAAAATAATCCAGCTGCAATTGGTGCCCCTTTTTGGTCCCTTCCAGTCTGCACTTGGTAGCAAACAGATGACAGGAGCTAGCATAGGTCTGATTGTCAGTGCCGCAAACCTAGGAAAGACAAGTAGGAGAAAAACTGATAAAGCTGAATGCTCATTGAAAAACACTCTGCTCCTTAAAACTCGTAGCCTGTCTGATAAATTGTACTGTGCCAAAGGTGTGGTCAGGTAGGTGAGGTTATTAAAATCATAATTCTATACATTTGCCTGGTATTCTTGTTATTTCATATAAATGAGACATACAATATTTGTCCTTTTGTGAACTTAGTCCACTCAGCATATTATTTTCAAAGTTCATCCATGTTGTAGCACGTATCAGGACTTCATTTTTGTTATGGTGATGAGAAATTTGGCAACGACTGTGGGTGATGATTGCACAGCATGATTAGTAAAATTGATATCACTAAATTGTACACCCAAAAATGTTGAATTGACAAATGTTGCGTTACATGTATTTTTACAGCAGTAAAAAAAGAAAAAAATCATAATTTTCCCATTTTGTAGATATACACACAAAATCCACCAAACTATACCAATGGTGATGACGGTATAGTTCCAGGTAAGCTCAGTAGAATAAAAACTTCAGATGTTCCAAGAATAGAATGAGTTTTAAGGCTAATTACATAGATCAAATATCATTATTACCTTCTTAGGGCACAGTGAAGAGTCCCTGAGTGGTGCAAATGGTCAAGCGCTCAACCACTAGCTGAAAGGTTGGCGGTTCAAACCCATTCAGGGGCACCTTGGAAGACAGACCTGGTGACTGCTTCTGAAAGGTCACAGCCCTGAAAACCCTACGGAGCATTCTACTCGGACACATGGGGTCTCCATGAGTCAGAATCAACGTGAAAGCAACAACAACAACTGGACGCAGTGATAATTTTTTGACTTTTCTGGCATTTGTTCTTACTCAGTGTTGCTTCAAATATTAGATCATAACCTGGGCATCTCCTTTTTTGTTTTTAACAAAAATTTTCAATTGTATACTCTTTTCATTCAAATCACTAACCTTTTGGTGTCTCTTAGAGACCATTTTGTAGAATACTTACTTGGTCAAGGAGTTTTGTAGGAGGACAAGTCACTGGATCTTGGCAAACACAGTGGGGTTTTCCCTGTAGGTCAGCCTTACAAACGCGTCCTCTTTTACACTGGAAACCCATGCAAGAATCTGTTAGAAAAATTCAAACGATCAGAAAGCAATTACATTGTGAAAAATGTAAAAAAGAATCTACTAGAAAACATTAGACAGGAAAGATGGACAAAGTTAAACAGAGTATGTATGTAAACCTCAAATCCACCAGGACAACCAGCTTCATTTTAGCTAATAAGGGAGAAAAATTGGGAAAATAGAAACCACTTTAATTGGCGAATTAATTCCTGGGAGGGACCTTCTGGTATCAGGCTCTTTTACATGACTGTCTAGATTTTCAGTGCAGCAGTTTGGATTGGATGTTTAGAAAGAACAAAAGCTCTTTCTGGCCTGACTGAGATGGTCATAGTCTGAAGTCAATATTACTCATTGTGCAAGTGGTCAGAAGTTAAGTAAACCATGCAGAATTTTATTGCGTTGAAATTCAAAATGTTTGTGATTGGGTTATGTGTTAGACCCTTAATTAAATATGGGATTTAGACTTACTAGTAATTTATGGATGTTTAGAAAGAACAAAAGCTCTTCCTGGCCTGACTGAGATGGTCATAGTCTGAAGTCAATAGTACACATTGTGCAAGTGGTCAGAAGTTAAGTAAACCGTGCAGAATTTTATTGTGTTGAAATTCAAAATGTTTGTGATTGGGTTATGTGTTAGACCCTTAATTAAATATGGGATTTAGACTTACTAGTAATTTATGGATTTGAGAATAAATAAGGTAGAATTAAGTCTCTTTTCTCAGACGCAAAAGAATTTAGTGAGAAAGAATTTTAGTTTTTGCACTAATATCTCAACAGGACACTTTCAGTTTGTAAACATATTTACCCATAGTTGTATATCATATCTGCATGAGAAAATATCAACAAATTATGGGAGCATTTCCTTGGGGAGGATTGGGAAGAGGAAGAATTCTGTGCAGTAGTCACAAAGGAAGGAAGAGAGAAGCCCAGTGAGGCAGAGTCTATCTCTTCCGTGATATAGTCACAAATAGCTTTTTTGATATAGTTACAGTCAGAAACCTTGATATACTCACCAACGCCCTCCACCCTCATGTTACCTTCACTTGAACTTTCATCTTCATTAGGTGAGCTCTCTGCTTTCTGGGCCTTTATAACAACAAAAGCAGAAGTTAGAGTCTATTAAGGGGAAAACCATTACTTAATTTAAATTCTCACTGTGCATACGTTCACAGAGATTTTGACACCCAGTCATTTCAGATCTCAAAAAGAGAAACCAGAAGGAACTGCAAGGTAGACAAAACTCTTTGAGAACAGGAGCTATTCTAACTTCATCAGCTGGATTCAGTGCTGTGTTTTTGGGGATTACTCAATAAATCTGGAATTTCCCTTCTGGATTTGGGAAAACACTAGAAACGTGGCACTAGCCTGCAATTCGGTGGTTAAGACAGGGTGACATCAGTAATCTCTGTGAAACTGTTGGTAAAGGTTTCTTAGGAGGTTTCTAAAGTGTAAGAAAATGCCCATCTTAGAATGGCAGCAGAATTCTCAGTAATTGGAGTACCTATTGACCTTGCTCATCGAAAGTTGTGTGAAATCCTCCTGATAGGTGGCAGCCAGAGTTTTCCATGAAATCTCCATATGATTAAACAAGCAATAGCTTTCCCCAATAAAATTTCCAGATTATTATTTTGGTATGAGTTTGCTTAATAACGTTGTAACCGAAGCCTTTGTTCTTAATCTTTATAGCTAATTCAACAAACACGGAAGGATCTCTTACTATGTTAGAGACACTTCGGAGACACTGGGGATTCAATTTAAATTAGATGTGGCACCTGCACTCAAGGCATCATAGCAGCAGCTGTCAATGTCTCCCATCCCTCAAATCCATCAGAATTTATCATTCCAGCTGCTCCAGGGACTTTCAACAACTACCAGTGTCTCTATTTTTGTGCCTGGAAAACCATGAAAATACATTCTGCCTACTAAAAGGACAGGCTGGAAGTGTTGGGGGGAATTAATGCACCCCTCGTCTTTACCAACGACCTCAGCCAATATAAGAACCCCAACTCCCTAACTCCCCAGGTAGGATAATTCTGAGGAATGTGTTTTACATGGTTTGAATAACATACCTTTTATTAGCTTCCTTCCCTGTATCACTTCTCCACCCCTCTATCTTTGTTCCCTGCACTTCTGAAAGAAACTGTCCTCGAATCCAAGGTCTGTTTCTAGGGAAACCCAAATAAAACAGACATTCTTAGCCTAGTGATGGAGATGGATATAAAAATAAATAACGGAAATGTAATAATTTATTTATAGAGTCTAGGCACAGGAGATTGTGAGAGTACAGAGAAAGGGAATGGCTGCTTATTGATAAAGCTAATTGCTTTCTTAGACAAGCATCATTGTAAATAATCTCACCCCTTGGGATTCTCCAGGTCCACTATCAACATTCTCCTTCTCATGTGCTCTTTCTTTTGGTTCCTCATTGCTGATGTGATAGTAATTGGACTGAGCTCTTTCACTCTCCAGGAAGGCCTGGCTTGGGATGAAGTAGTCATCACTGACATTGTGCCTGGGGCCATCACCACCATCCTCAGCCTCAAGATTTCTGGGCATGCTGTTACCATCGTCAGTAGGCTCCACGAGTGAAGCTTCAGGAACAGTCTTTTTATGCATCTCCTTGTGGGTGCTGATAATTTCAAGGCCACCTTTTCCCTCTTGGCTCTGCCATTCAGTATCTTGAACATTCTTATTGAGTTTTGATGTGTGTTCCTCTTCCATTTCTGCTTTGGAATTATCCTCTTCTTGTTCTTGGTTACCCTGCTCAAATTCTTCCCTCTGCATCTTGCTAACTTGAGTTGGTTGACTGGACTCTTCCAAAATATCATCAGGTTGGGTGCTGTCTTCCTCCTGATTGCTGTTCAAATGCTCCTTGGGAAATTCTTCCTCCTTTTCTTGGTTATCATTGTGAGTACCAACTGCACCTGGCTCTTCTTCCTCTTCCTCTTCCCCTTTGAAAATATTTGGATTCTGCTCTTGATTTCCTGGATCACTTAGGTATTGGCTATGTTTGCTGCTCCTGTTCAGCTGATGATCTTGATATTTCTGTTTCTCTGTGATACTTTCTTGTTGGCTATAATCCACAGTGGAACTAACATCAGGAGCAAGAAAGTCAACCTTCTCTGGCAGATTTTTCTTTTCAGGAATATTTTCTTTTAGGTCCACTGTTCCTTCAGTTGGTTTGTATTCCAAATTCACACCTAAGCTACCATCACTGTCCTTTTCATCCTTCAGTCCCAGCTCTTGGCTGTAATTCTGATCCTGATCTTCTGATTGTTCATGGTGTTCTTCTTTTGACTTTAGTATTGAAGATTTTTCAGCCTTAAAAGAAAAAAAGTTTACTCTTGAAACAAATGGTAATATATCTACAACATACATGCAATTCCTAAGTCAGTATTTAATATTCATTATTCCTTTTCTTCATACATTATCATGTAAACTTACTTATGATGTTCTTCACTTTCTATAGCCACAAGTTTTAACTTGAATTTGAGTTTTATGAAATGAAACAATTGTATAGCACCTCATCTCAAGGAGTAAACCCATTAACCCATGCAGCAGCTCTTTTAGTGACTGGAGGCAATTGATATGATCATAATCTTTAAAAAAATTAAGCATGAATAAGGTAATCTCTTTGACCATGCTTTGGAATTGAAACTTTTGGAGAAGTTAAAAATTGTATTAGAATAACCATGTTACTTTTACCTCATAATTGGGATGATCTTCTATAGATACTGCAGCTTCTTTTTCATTTTCTGACTCTTCAATCCCTAAAATAGGAATTGCAGTGTTGTCGGGTGTTACTGACGTTTCAGCCTGTTGAATGGAACTCAAAGAGTCGGCAGTTGGTTTGGAATGATCAGAGAAGAACTTTGCATTTGTCTGAAAAAATTAAAAATTGGTTTGTGTTATTCATGTGTAGATGCCAGTTTTAAAAATTGCTAGTTACTCTTTTATTGTCATCATTGATTATTAGTAGCAATATACTTTATTCATAAGTTAAAAGATGTTCTCTAGAATTTTTAAGAATACAGGAAAGTGTCCAGAATATAAAGTTAAGTGAAAACAGAATCTTAATCATCTTTAAGAAAAAGTTGTATATACAGAGCCTGGGTGAAAACAGAGCAAAAAAGATTTCAATAGTGGTGATCTTCGAGTTTTGGAATTATTCTGTGTTTTTCAAACTGTTACAAAGCATTAGTATTTTCTAATTTTGATAAGTGTTTTTTAGCAGAAAGCTGAAGTCAAATTAAATTAACCATAGACATAGCATTTATTCCTTCCATCTTCTTTTGATTCTTCCTGCATTGTTCAATATTTTGTCCATAAAATCCTTCAGTATTGCAACTTGAGTCTTGAAATTTTTATTCAGTGCTTTCAGCTTTAGAAATCCGAGTGTGTTCTTCTCTTTTGGTTTTCTAACTCTAGGGCTTTGCACGTTTCATTATAACTGAAGGATGCAGGAATCATCAAAAGAAGATGGAAGGAATACACAGAGTCACTTTACCAAAAAGAATTGGTTGATGTTCAGCCATTTCAGGAGGTAGCATATGATCAAGAACCAATGATATTGAAGGAAGAAGTCCAAGCTGCATTGAAAGCATTGGTGAACAAGGCTCCAGTAACTGATGGAATACCAAGTGAAATGTGTCAACAGACGGATGCAGCGCTGGAGGTGCTCACTTGTCCATGCCAAGATTTTGGAAAATAGCTGCCTGACCAAAAGACTGGAAGAGATCCATAAATGTGCCCATTCCAAAGAAAGGAAATCCAACGGGATGCAAAAATTAATGAACAATATCATTAATATCACACGTAAGTAAAATTTTGCTGAAGATAATTCAAAAGCTTTATTTCAGCAGTACAATGGCAGGGAACTGCCAGAAATTCAAGCCAGATTCAGAAAAGGATGTGGAACTAGGGATATCACTGATGATTTCATGATATCAAATGGATGTTGGCTGAAAGCAGAGAATACCAGAAAGACATTTACCTGTATTTTATAGACTATGCAAAGGCACTTGATTGTGTGGATTGTAACAAATTGTGGATAACATTGCAAAGAATGGGAATTTCAGAACACTTAATTGTGCTCATAAGGAACCTGTACATAGACCAGGAGGCAGTCGTTCAAACAGAACAAGAGGATACTGTGTGCTTTAAAATCAGGAGAGATGTGTGTTGGGGCTGTATGGTTTCACTATACTTATTCAATCTGTATACTGAGCAAATAATCCAAGAAGCTGGACTATACGAAGAAGAACACGGCATCAGGATTGAAGAAGACTCATCAACAACTTGTGATATACAAATGACACAACTTTGCTTGCTGAAAGTGAAGAGGACTTGAAGCACTTACTGAAAGATCAAAAACTACAGCCTTCAGTATGGATTACAGTTCAACATAAACAAAACAAAAATCCCCACAACTGGACCGATAAGCAGCACTATGATAAACACAGAAAAAATTGAAGTTGTCAAGGATTTCATTTTACTTGGATCCACAGTCAACACCTGTGGAAGCAGTAGTCAAGAAATCAAACAACATATTGCATTGGGCAAATCTGCTGCAAAAGACCTCTCTAAAATGTTAAAAAGCAAAGATGTCACTTTTAGAACTAAGGTGAGCCTGATCCAAGCCATGGTATTTTCTATTGTCTCATATGCATGTAAAAGCTGGGCAATGAATAAGGAAGACCAAAGAAGAATTTATGCCTTTGAATTATGATGTTGGAGAAGAATATTGAATATACCATGGACTTCTAGAAGAACTTGGAAGAAGTACAGACAGAATGCTCCTTAGAAGCGAGGATGGTCAGACTTCGTCTCACATACTTTGAACTTGTTATCAAGAGGGACCAGTGCCTGGTGAAGGACATCATGCTTG